TCTCCCACAAAGTGCCAGAACAGAAGGCAGGTGCAGCACCTGGAGGTCACTGAGGCTTTTAGATCTGAGGAAGTGTACAAGTGTGGAGAGAAGGAGGGTGGGGAAGCCCTTCCCTACCCTTGGGAGGTGTCCCACTCCTCCTTTTTCCACTCCGCAGGCTCTGTGCAGAGTGGAAATCTCCCAGGACAAAGACCCACCCTGGCCCTCCAGCATTATGGTGCTTTTTAACTTGAGTATCGCAAAAGGTTTAAATGGGATTTCCCACTGCCACTTTTGTGATTTGGGCACAAGAAACCTGCACAAACTTTTTTGCAGTTGTGGATCCAAGGGTGAAGCTTTGCATATAGTTTAATTTTGGTTATCTGTATTTTTTACGAAATGGAAGTGATTTAAAACTGTTGGTAATATTGCACATTTCTACAGCATGTTACTAATGCTACAAAAGTCTTGGGGTTGGGGAGTTTTCCATGAAACAAAATGGTGTTGATCACGGCATTTCTTTTTTTTTTTAAAGAAAATGTTTCTGATCTAATAGGAAAAGCAATAAGCAGAAATAATCTCCCTCAGTGATATTTTAAATTATGATTTTTCTCCAAAATACTGTTACAGGACTGTGTATTACTCATGTCCTGAGGTAGAACAAGGTGATACATCATAGCTTAGTGGGACTGCTGCTGTTTTCACTGCAACTTTTCAGCTGAAAGGGCTTCGTCTGCCTTTGCTGGGCTGGGTGTGTGCTTACTGGTGACACTGGTCACCTTGGGTTGCTGAACAAAAGACTGTGGGTAAATGCTGTGTAAACAGCATCTCATTCATAATGCTGCCAGCTTTCAACATTTGGCTGTTATGTCCATGTAGTAAGTTACCCACCAAGTGTAGTCTTCAAAGTCAGATAAAGGCTGTCTGGGATAAACACAACCACTTGCTTGTACAGCCACACCTTAGAGCCGTCACTTCATCCCTGATGTTTTCTCTTTGTGTGTTTCAGGTAGTTTATTTAAAACTCGGTGCACCAGCTGTGGAAACGTAGCTGCGAATTACAAGAGCCCCATATGCCCTGCGTTGGCCGGGAAAGGGTAACGTGTCTGCTTTGCAAACTCTCTGTGCTTTCTACTTTGTCTGCTGTTCAGTAGCAAAGGAACTATTTTAGGAGCATCTGGGAATTCCAGCCAACCACCTCCTTTTACTTGAGCATTAATAATGCTTAAATTTTACGCAGCTGTTTTGAAACATGAGGATACTGTTTGGTAACTCCAGTGAGAGCCCTTGGTGCCATGAACTCCTGTAAATGAATGATTGTTAACCTCTAAGTCAGCACAACATGATACATGTTTTAAATAGAACAATTTCAGCTTATCTGTGACTCTTATATGGGAAGTCAACTAATTGTGAGAATGTGTTTTGCTCCCATCCTCTTCACTTTCAATTTTTTTAATTAAGGCAGATTCTTATTCCTTAAATTGAACTGTCATAGTTTTATACATCCATTTCCCTCTTCTGCATCTCTTGAGCACCTTTTAGCTTTTGACCTTCAACTCCTCAGTTAGATTCTCCTGATTAAAAATCTCAAAATACAGATGTGTGAAACAATCAGGATGGAAGCATCAGTTCCCAGGATCCTTCAGTCTCCTTTTTCTAGCCATCTTCTTTCTTTCACCATTTAAAATGAAAGTGGGAAGGGGTATGGGCCAGGCATATGCTCACAGATTTTTAGTGCATTTTTTTCCCTTTGCATTTCACCAGAGCTTTAGACGCTACATAAATAATTGCTGTGCCTTTGACAGTCTTGAACAGTCTTGACAGTAACTCAGCTCTGGGATAATTCTGGACAAATGCCTGCCTGCCATGTGTGTGGTATTTTAGGGTTGCAGTAGGTGTTGAAGTTGGCTGGAGTTGCAAAGATTCCTTGACTGGAGAGTGTGCTTTAAAGAAAACTAAGTTTTTATTATTATATAAAGTGCTTTTTTTATGATTGAATATGTATTTCAATTTTGTAACAGGGCTCCAGATCCTGAAACAGCAGATGCTGCGATTCCAGTCGAAGACCTTCCTCAGTATGTATGGACTTCTTTGTTTTTTGTTGTTACCTCTTCACGCTTTGTGCATCTCAAAGGCTTGTGTTACTGTTCGTATTGTTTTGGAAGGACACTGAGATATTCCACAGGAGAGAAAGGTGTGGGACTTTGTCCCAGAGCCTAAAGAACTGACAACAGCAGTGTGTACTAGAAGTCACCACGATGCCAAAGGCATCACATGTTTGTGTACTTGAGTACCAAGATGAAACATGCCTGAATTCATGGGGACTGTAGTACGTGAAGTAGTTAGAGAATTGCAGCAAAAAAATGAGGGCTACAACAGCAAATGTTTTGTTACTTTGCAGGTGCCACTCACTATTAGTCTGGAATACTGTGCTGGGTTACAGCCACTGCATAGTCTCTCACAGGCATTAAATGTGCCATGATGCTTTTTTATTCTGGCTGAAGCTTTACCTTCTCTAGTCGCAGATGCAAAAATCCATCGTATTTTTTGTCTGGTTCCTAAGAAAAAGAGGCTAATGGTGTGATGCTTCTGTCCTTTGGTTCACTTTCTCCTTAAAAACCAGTTAGCCAATTTGTTAAAAGGAGGCCGAAGTTTTAATTTTCATGCATTTCAGGAGATGAGTAAGGGGAAGACACAATTAAGTGTCTGTGTTGAAAAACTGTTCAGCAACCCATTCCATGTGACCAGGCAGCACATGTGTAATTCCAACACGTGTGGCGTGAAATCAGCCACAGCACATGGAATTGGCCCAGCACAATATTAGGGGAGGGTGTGGGGAGGGCTCTGAAACAGAAGGGAAAGAGTGAGGGAAGGTAAGATGTGCCCAAGTATGAAAACTGCTTTGACATTTTGCAGCTTGCAAGGTTCACATCAGCAGCGTAACGCTGTCCCTTTGTGATGTTGAAATAGGTGTGAGGAGGATGGCTGCAATGGGCTCCTACGTCCTCACGTCGTGTGGTTTGGTGAAGCCCTGGATCCCGACGTTCTCACAGCAGTTGAGAAGGAGCTTGATATTTGTGACCTCTGCTTGGTAGTGAGTGGTGCTTTCATTACTTGTCTTCTGAACCGGCAGGGAAGCCACGCTAAGGAGGTTGCACCTCCTGGGTAAAGCAGATGTATCTCTGCTTCCCTGAGGAGCTAAAAGCCCGTGAGGGGCTCTCTAGTGTCAAGTGTAAAACATTAAAAGACCTTGAAGTTTGAACATATACACAGACTGCTCAGAAATTACCAGGTACACAGGTGTTAGGGGTTAGCCAATATTGTTTGGCTCTTGAATTTCACTCCCCCTCTAGTCTGCTCTTGGGAGACCCCCACTTGGAATACTGCATATAGTTCTGGTGCCCCCAGTGTAAGAAGGACATGGAACTGTTGGACTGAGTCCAGAGGAGGGCCATGAAGATGATCAGTGGGCTGAAGCACTTCTTCTATGAAGACAGGCTCAGAGGGCTGGAGAAGAGAAGGCTCTGAGGAGACCTTATAGGAGCCCAGAGAATCTGTAGATGCCCAGTCTCTGGGGGTGTTCCAGGCCAGGTTGGATGGGGCTCTGATCAGCCTGGTCTAGCAAAATATGTTCCTGCCCACGGCAGGGGAATTGGAACTAGATGATCTTTAGGATCCTTTCCAACCCAAACCTTTCTGTGGGTCTAATTTCTCAGAGAAAAATGTAATTATTTTGATGCCCAGTCTAAAAGAAAAGAAGTGACAAAATGTCGTAAGAAGGTAGCTAGCTGTTATCCTGTGCTGCCTTTTTTGTGAGGTAGTTTACATGCGCCATTTAGGTTCCAGATCCCTGAGCAAAACACTTGCTCAGAATATTGTGTTCCGTTTACTGAATAATCTCAAGTAACACAAGGAATGTCTTGGGTTTTTTTCCCTAGAGACAAAGTTTTGTTTCTGGCATTTTTTTTTTTCCATCTGGAGTTCTAATGCACAAACAAGCTTCTTTGGGCTGTATCAGAGAAACAATTCCTGATTGTTACGCTGTGTTAAACAGCTCCATATGCAGTAATACTAATTGGAGATACTGGTTTGGTTTAATTTCTGTAGGGATCTTGCACGCTTTAGTGGCTTTTGCACATCGGGTGTTCTGAGAAGGGCCCTCACCCGTGGGGTTGGTTTGGTTTTGTGTTTTAACCACTGTCCTGCTACACTTGTGATTTGTCTCCCCGTCCCCGCAGGTCGGGACCTCCTCTGTGGTTTATCCTGCAGCCATGTTCGCCCCTCAGGTCTCCGCCAGAGGAGTGCCAGTCGCAGAATTCAACATGGAAGCTACTCCTGCCACAAACAGATTCAGGTAAAGCTGTTCAGAGTAGCAGCCTTTAGGCCCCTCCACCTCCGTTGTCTTTTGCATCCAACTACTAAAATGCTGGTTTTAGACAAATACGATATAGTTTTCTGCCCAGTGCTTAAGAAATACTATTTTAATAAGTAAGAACAGATGACAGTTCTTTCATGGTGGAATCAAGTTTTACTAAAGACACAACTGTGGTTTCCTAAGTGGGGGGATGAAGTCTGTCCTAAAGTCCCAGAAGGCCTACAACCCTCTCCCCCTCTTACCTCCTCTCCCCCCCTGCAAAAGGTGCTCAGGCGCTGCCAGGTAACGAAGCAGCAAAAAGCAGGATGCGCTGGTGGCTGCCCGCGCCTAAACCCGGCCTCTCCCTTCCAGGTTTCACTTCCCGGGCCCCTGCGGGACCACGCTGCCGCCGGCGCTGGCGCGACACGAGACGGAGATCATCTCCTGAGCTCCGGGAGCGGCCCGACGGGACCAACGCGGCGGGGGCGCGGCGGGCGGGCGAGAGGAGGCGGCGGGTCTCGCCGGACGGGTCTTCACGGCAATAAAGAGGCGATCGAGACCCGCCGCCGCCACTTCCCAGTGTCCTGTGTCCGTCGGCGCGCGTCCAGGGGGGCGGGACAGGCGTGCGGGTTTCCCGGCGCACGGCATTCCCCGGCGGAAGGCGGGAGCGGTTCCGGGGCGGGCGGCGCGGCGACCATGGCGATGGCGCGGCGAAAGAAGGCAGCGGCGGCGGCCGCGGGCAAGCGCAGGGCTCCCGCCGCGCTGCCCAGCCCGGCCTCCTCCTCGGAGGACGAGGCGGACGAGGCCCCGGAGCAGGTGTCCTTCGGCGCGGCGAGGGAGGCGGCCGAGGCTGAGAGGAAGCTCGTGGGGGAGGCGGCACGGAGGTGCGGACACACGCGGGCCCGGAACGACACTTGCCGGGCACTTCACCCCTCTTGTCCCGCACTCCCTGTTCGCCTTTCTCACTCCCCGCTTCTTACCCCTGCTCTCCTCTTACGTTATCCTTCTTACGTCTCTCACCATCCTCTAGTCCTCCCGGTTTTTTCCCCTTATCCTCTCTCTGACACCCCCTTACCCTCCTTCTAATTCCCTTCACTTGTCTTACCCCCCCATCCCCTGTCTTACCCTGCCTTCACCCGTCTTACCTCTTGTTATCCCCCCTTATTCCCTTTCACCCTTCTTACCGTCCTCCCTTAAGCCTTCTTCCCCCCTCTGATTCCCCCCTTCACCCCGTCTTACTCCCTTCGTTCCTCCTCCCCCTTATCCCTCTCCTACTCTGCAGCCGCGCTGACGGCGCCTCCCGCCTCCCCGCAGGCACCGGGAGCTGCTGAAGGAGAAGCGGCGGCGGCACCAGGAGCTGTTCGCGGAGCAGAAGGTACAGCTGCGTCCCCCTCACCCGCTCTCTCCCTGCTCCGGGGGGGCCGTGGGTGAATGCCCGCCCGACTCTCCTCTCCTCCGCAGAAGCGGAGGCTGCTGCCCGAGGCCGTGCTGCAGGAGCTGCAGGAACTGCAGGATGTGGCCGCCACTGCTGCGCCGCCCGAAGGGTGAGGAGATGTAGGGAGCTCTGGGTCGTCTCGGTGGACGCTACCCAAGCCGGGTCCTGGCACTGGGAGACCGGGCTTCAAACGGGAGTAAACGGAGTGTGAATTGGAAGAGTAACCTGTTGGTTTTTCCTTGCTCCCCAGACTCGCTGAGCAGGCTCCGGCAGATGACCAAGGTATGCTACAGCTTGCTTTGCTAGCATGGTGCGCTTCTGATATCTCAGGAGTTCATTTCTGTGCCAGAGCTGCAGTGGGACATCTCTGGTAAAGACACCTTCTGATAGTCTGAAACATGGACAGGCCGGACAGACTTTCTTTTCCCAAGGGAAAATCGAAAGTCACATTTAATCTAATTCTTAGGCCTTCTGCAGAAGTTGCTTGCTGTACGCTGATTTCAGTTAAAATAGCCTGAGGTGTTTAAGGAAATCTTGGGCAGGTGTTATAGCTGAAAAAGCAAGGATTACCGAAGGTGGATTAATATTCAGCACTTGTTTAAATTATAATGGCTATTCCTGGATAGAGTTGTTAAATCATTTTGATACTTTACACACCAAACTACAATTTAATAGCATCTGTAAAATATGAAGTAACTTTTTTCTCAAATTCAGAACTACAAAGACAAGAGTCAAGAATATCGCTGCTGTTTTCATCTGTACTTCCAAGTACTTCACAAAACCCCTTTTATTTAAACAATTCTCTCATCCCTAGCTCACATAATTATATTGCTGGATGGTGTAACTGCTACTTTTTATATTGGCATAACAAAAAGGTGAACTGAGAACAAAGTGAGACTGAAGCTGAGGCAGGACTCCCAGTTGTTGTCCCACCTGTAGCTGTTGTGTTGCACTGAATTTTTGTCCTGTAATGAATCCCATTTTGTTGATGCCAAGGAAGGGGAAAGCTGGCTAGCAGCCACCAACTTTGGGTTGCTCCCTTGAGGTGTGTTTTTTTCCCTCCTTCTCACAGCCCTTCTTACTACTCAGTGCTTCTGAAAAACGCTTGTTTTTTAATTCCTGTTCCTCTTATCAGTTTTGATTTGTAATGTTTAGGAAATTTTGTTTTAAAGTTACTTCAGGTGAAGAACTTGAAGATGAGGCTGAGAAGCAGGAACAAGGCCCAGCCCAAGGGCAAGGCCAAGCCAAAATGCAGGTGAAGAAAGGCAAGGCAAGAAAGGGTGCCAGGTAGGAGGGTCCAGGATGATCCAGGGTGGCTGCATTTTCCTGGGTGATGGGGCATTGCTACAGCTGTTCTGTCACTGCATGGCTGTACCCTCTTCTGCACTTCATGTTTCCCCCTGCTCTTCCTCTGATTGAAAGCATAGTTATGTGCTATAAGCACCTTTAATATCTTCTGTTATAGCATGCTTATATAGAATCATAAAATGGATTGGATGGGACCTTACTTAAAGATCAGCTACTTCCAATCCCCCCTGCCATGGGCAGCAACACTTTCCCTTAGGCCAGGTTGCTCAAAGCTCCATCCAACCTGGCCTTGAACAACTCCAGGGATTGGACACTCACACTTCTCTGGGCAACCTGTTCCAGTGCCTCACCACCTTCACAATAAAAGATTTTTTTCCTAATATCTAATCTAAACCCACTCTGAGTTTGAAGCCTCTCCCCCTTGTCCTGTCACTACATGCCCTTGTAAAAAGTCTCTCTCATCTTTCTTATAGGCTCCCTTCAGGTACTGGAAGGCTGCAATTAGGTCACCCTAAATCCTTCTCTTTTCCAGGCTGAACAACCCCAGTTCTCTCAACCTTAATGTGTGCATGCATATATAACAAAATCTGTAATATAAATAATTTTTATATGTTAGGTATATATAACTGCTATGAGATAACTGGGCAGTCATAAGACAGCAGTACACACTGTGTTATGTGCTGTTACAGGTGGGGTGGTTGAGCACTAAATTCCCATATTTCAATCTTTTTTTCTTTTTCCTCTTTATTTCTTTGTCACTGATGTCCCTAGAAAGGAGCTGCACTGGCTTCTGGGAGAAATAGTTCAAGACTCCCAACAAATGACTCGGGGCACACAAAGGCATATAACAACAGCTTCAGAGTTCTGGTCCCATTTTTTATTTTTTTAATGCTGCCACCAAGCTCCTCTGAGCATCAGAAACCAGCAACTGCTGCAGTTGTGCTCAAGTAGCCAAAGCTTGACACTGATGCGTCTGTTGTTCTGGGTTCTGTAACCATGGTAAAGGGATTTACACATCTTTTTAACTAGGTCAAAAGGAAACTACGCAGCTGTGTGCTTAAAAGATCAGAGTTCAACAGGCCTCCACCAACAGCTCGCCAGAGACTTTCTAAATGCTCAGCTCTATGGGCCACACACCAACCGGGTACAGGGTAAGCAGTTTTGGTTAGGCAGGTCTGCATCTAGTCTTGTCTGGCTTTAACTTGGTAATTAACACTCATTTCTGTTTCAGCAAATGAATTTTTTTCCCTTGCAAACAAGAAAGACCCAGTTAAAAAAGCTGCAGTTCAGTTTGTGGACAAATCTTGGGGTGAGTGTTAAAAAAGTGTGTACTACTTTTGCATATATGGTTAAAAGTAGACTTGAGTAAAACCAGTGTTCCCATGTCAGAGGGCTGGGGCTTGTGACACTCTAACTAAAGACTGCAGTAGTTAGAGAAGGGCAGCAGAGCATTACAGCCTCAGTGGGTGTTGGGAGCATGTCCCTGGAGAGGGTGTGAGACACAGAACTTGGAAAAAAATTGCCTCATTTTTGGAACATTAAGAAAGCACATATGGGCCTAGAGCCATGGCTGCTCGGTGAAATAAATAGTTTAGTAACTGCTGTTTCAGCCTGCAGCCTCTGAGCTGTTGGAAAGTGTTCCAGGTATGTGTAAAACTTAAAAGCAGGGATATCAAATTCCCAGAATTTCTGTGTAAGCACAGAGAAATAGCACCTGTTGGGGACAGACTCACACCCACACAGTCTGTGAGGCTCTCGAACACCAGAGGCAAAAGTTACTGATCCTTAAAGCACCCAGGGTCTGCTTTTCACTTGTGCCCCATCACTAAAAGCACTGCTGTACCTGCATCCCCCTTCTGAAGGTGCATGGTGCACGCTGGTACCCCTGGACAGTCAAAGGCACCTGATGTATATAAAATACCATTAGGAAGTTTATCAGTTTTGCAGTCAGTTGTTCTGTTCTGAGATGCTGCAGCAGTCACTGGATTGCTGCTTCTCCAGCAGAGGGGCAACTAACAGCTATTTATTTTTTTCTTAAGGGCAAGAAAAAAAGGAAAAAGCAGCAAGGTTTAAGAAACGTTGGATTGCAACACAGACTAAAAATTGAGTCTGAGAACAGAATTGAGTCTGAGAACAGCTTTTTCAGAAGACACTGTTAAGGACTTTTACTGAAAGTTAATCTCTCAAAACAACAATGGTAATTTTTCCCCCACTTCATCATCACTTTGCTCTCAGCTCCACCTACCAGACAGCACTGACCTTCACCAAGCTGTGCCTGATCAGACTTCCTTGTTCTCTCCCCCTTTCAGAAGTTCTTGGGGAAGCTACAAGGCAGCGGGGCCAGGGCAGTGTTGTAGAACAGCGGGTGTTAGCACCAGACCCTGTTGAGCTGCCTCCATGAGGTAATGCCTTTGCAGAGAATAAAGATGAGCCATGTTGTACCTACTGTTGTGGATGCTGCATTTCTTGCAGCAGCTTCAGTTACTTGCATCTCTAAAGGGAAGTCTGTACCCTAATAGCAGAATCACTAAGTCAGCTCACACAGCAGGACACTTCCCTCAAGCCCGATCATTACTTTCAGAGCAGTAAGGGAAAATCCCTTACTCCTTGAATAAGATTCTATCAGTGCATGGACTTGACCCTCCTAGCTAGACTCACTTTGTGGCAAGAACAGGGCCAAGCCTTTAACTTCTGACAGCCCAACTGCTGCAGGAAAGGGGCATTCCTGGCTAGAGCCACGCTCTCCATTCCTGGGTCTACATAAGAACTGCTGTTCTAGGATGAAACTCTGGAACGAAGACAATGTAGCATACAACTCCATGCTACCCTGTATGTAGAAGTAAGTTTTTAATGGCTGGTTAATTATGATATCACTACATTTTATTGCAATATAGTACTATTTAAGCACTTTTAAAAATGCAAGGTGTACAAAGATTAAATTAAGACTGTAAATTGACTAAATATTTGGTTTTTATATAAATAGGTCATAACCACACTGTGTTGACATGTAATACTGTTATAATACAACAGTTAAACTGGTGAGCCTACACAACAGAAGCTGTCTGTAGTTAAACAAGAAAACAAAGTTGAAAAGACCATGTTAAAACAAAAAAACTACTAAGATCAACAGGTTGGGATTGTAAGTAGCAACAAACATATTCACTCAGCTCCTGAGTAATTCAAGTTTTACAGTACACATTAAAAAATATCATTTCTTCCCATCAACACTATATATCCAAACCATTTGCATTTTGCAAATTACACTGATTGAACTATGTAACAATGGGGGTGGAGGTTGGCAAGTCATCCTGCTTGACATTTACATCACCCACATGCTAATACATCCATGTTTTCTAGTCTTCCGTCCCACCACAAGGTAGCAGGATTTTTGGTTTGTTTTGGACAATCGTTTAAAGGATTGGTACTTGTCAATTTGCATGTCTGACGTTACCACTGATATTTTCAACTCTTAGTTGTCTAAGAGGTTTAAAGATGGAAATTTTCTCCTAACACTAAGTTAGAAATCATTTGCATCATGCTGTAAACTAGGAAGCAACATAAAGCGACAGACTTGTCCTTAGTACATAATTAAAATTCCAAATTCCAGTCAGCAGAGCTGGTCTACTTTCCATGTTGAATATGCCACAACACCTTTCAGACCTTCAAATGCATAGCTAGTGTAGGTAGTCTTCCACTGTGGCGAACGCACAGGATCCAATGCCTGACCGAGCCATCAATCCCAGACACTGTGATGCCTGTCCCATGGCCAGGGCAAGTGGTGGTTGCTTTGGCAGATTGTGAGTCTCTGGAACAAAGAATCACAGTGGCAGTTAAAATACCTGATTAATTTCATAGCAATACACTGAAACCTTGATATTTAAGCTTGCTTCAATCACTCATTTAAAATTCCTGTGTTTACTTTCAAAGTTTGCTCTTAAAAGCCAGACAGAGCAGAAGCAACAAAGAGACATTTTCAAATTCCCCGCTCAAGCACCATTATTGAACAGGCCCATTTTTGGTCTGAACGATGTAACAACAGACAAGCATCTATTACATTAAAGTGCCCCCCAAAACTACCCGTCTTCCTAAAAGGGTGTATCCTAACATTGCTATCCTTCATTACTCAGTAAGTGACTGATGCACTATGAGCAGCAGGGCCGCCTGTGTGGGACAAGAGAAAGGCACTGCCCACCACACCACACCTGGCAGTCTCCAGGCCATACCTACCTAGTATTGCACTATTAAGTACAGAGCACACTGGTTCTCTTTGTATCGGGTCAAGCTGATTTCCAACGGGGCTGCTCCAGGGATCGGAATACGCGAGTAAACTGAATGCATCCTGTGGGAAGATGATTTTTATTACATTTCATAGCTCTATGCTACTAGTGAAAACAAGGACTATTCACCTATTTTGATTCAGTATCATGAAAGGAACTGTCAGTGTCTATCAATACAAAAGGATAAAAAGAAATTGTGACGGGGCTTGCTCCGCTTGGAGCAAGCAGTGTTTTTCCCAACAGCAAGACAAAAGGTAGCAGTATTTTAGTAAGCGATGGGGTAAGAACACAGGCTGAAAACTGCATGCGGTCGTTGGCTGGAGAATTCTCTTCCAGAGTAGTCTCAAATCAAGGTAAACTAATTAGCATGCAGAGTACTAAAGAGACCACGTAATGGGCATCTCTACCAATCCTCTCGTGGTTCATTTATCATTAGAGCCAAAACCAGCACTTCGATTCAAGAGGCCAAATTACATGGTCAGAAATGAGAGAAAGTGCTAAATTAATTTCTGGGTTTAATTGCATTACAGCACAAAATTAGCTTCCCTGTGCATGTGTTACGCAGACAAGACAGGAGACAGTGCTACACCACAGCTGACCAGAATACTGCTCTCAGACAGACACATAAGTACACACAAAAAATGCCAGAAGTTAAAGCAGAGCAGTATTGCAGCACCACATGCTGTGGGAAGTTCCTGCTAGGCAGCACAGTTATTCACCTTAACACCACAGTTCCAAGATTAAAAATACCTTGAGCATTTTCTTATTCACTGTGTTTTTCCCACATTCTCTTCTTAGTTGCTCGCTCATTGCTTGCAATTCTCTTCCAAAATGGATCATCCTTTCAATGGCTGCTTGGCTGCCACCACAGAGCTGACGTCTTAACTGACTTGAATCTACTTCTGCAAAAACGATATCGTCATCATCACCACTAATAGAGCTGAAAGTAACAACCTGGGGATCTACAGAATCTGCACTGATTGCACTCAAAAAAACCAGCTGCCTTCTCAGAGAGACCTTGGCACCATGAACTTCTATACTGAGCACTGCTGAATTGCTCCTTTATGAACATTTAAGAGACTTCACTAACTAACAGCAAAGGCTATTGACACGTGCTGTTTATTTTGCAATGGTTAATTTAAAACTAACTAGACTATAAACCAAATTTAGGATAAAATTTTATGGGAGTTTAAAAACAACGGAAGTCCACACAGTTCCACTTTTTTAATTCTTTGGCATTGCACCTCTAAAGATGTGCCAAATCTGGAACTTCTAAAAGACAGCAAAACCCCCTGAACTTCCTGAACAGCCATGATGGAGTCTGCTACAAGACAATCATTCAGACTCTTCATACTCCTTGTAGAATATATTATCTTAATCATTCAGACATTTCAGGCTTCTTTTGTAATCAAGCAAAATGTTACAATTGATTTCTTTACTGTTTGCTACAACATTCCCCAATACTAATGATTTTAAAAAATATTGATGAAAATTATGAATAGTAAATTAACTCTTGGCTTCTCTGAAAGTTCTGCCTTTTTAAAATTTACAATTAAGCAACATATTAAAAAAAGGCATTTATCCGTTCCTTGCCCTTTTTCATAAATGGAATCAGGTTTTAAATGAGCATTTTGAGGTACACTTCAATTACAAAACTATTATTCTTTCTGACTTTACACCACTATCTAGTGTTGTATTTTGACTACTATTTCAAACAAGGATTTTTAACTGGAAACTTTTGTTTTTCCTTAGATGTAGGCATATCACCTCTGGAAAATACTTGCCTACTGGACATTATTACATACACAGCACTAAGGATATTATATATATACACAATATATATTTCAAAAAGTGAAAAACCACCAAACTCAAACTGGGGGCAGTAAACAGTGTAAGTGGAGGACCCACATTTCTTTTTTTACAAAGGTGAAGAACCCACAAGTCTTCAAGTAGCGGTGTTTGTCACTAGCTGCAGCCTAATCTAGGACATCGCCTTCCAAAGGCAGAAAAAAATGTTACAAAAAGCACAAACAACTCTGTGCCCTGTGCAGCCACTGCATGTCTGTCACAACAAGTCTCTGAGAAAAAGGCTCCAAGAGAGTAAAGAAGTATTTTGGTTGTTCTGTCACAGAAATGAGGTCTTGTTATTATCCAGCTCCAGAGCATAACGCAGGGGAAGCAGTCTGGCAACTTGCTTCTCCCCCCTTCAGGGCTGTAACGTCATTACATTTGCTGTTCAAAAGTTACCTGGTATCTACCAGCAAAGCTGCAGGATCAGCAACAGCACTTGCCCCAGGAACTGTGAAGCAGGCACAGATCTCTGTGTGTGCTTGACTAGACTGCTGCATTCTGAAAGTCTCGAGTTTCACATTTCATTTAAACTACCTGTTAATTGATGTCCAGTTAAATCAATTGTTTGAGAACCTAGTTCTGCAGCTGCACAAAGGGCAAATCAGACGGGATTTAAATATTCATTTGTCACCAATGTCAACAGATATGACTGACTATAAAGCAGGTTAAGTAAAACAAAGCTAATTTTTAGACCACAACTATAAAGCAGTAATTTTTTAGTGGAAAATATGAACAAATTATTTTAATTTTTTTTTTTTTTTTACATTTTCCAAATATAGCTGTTTCCTTGAGCACTAAATACTAGCACTTTGAGTTCTTCAATATAAAGATTTAGAATGTCTACACTGTAAGCGAAGCACAAAGATGCCATGAGAACCATGAATGGGAAGAGGACTAGGGGAAGAGGGAGAAACAATCTGCCAACCCAAAGGCAGGGGTGCTATACAACAGGGTGCTTCTTCTTAAAGGTACTTCCTTAGAAATTGGTGCTAGTTTCAATAGCCACAATATGCAACCTGTTTTCTCTATTCTCACACTGATATTGGACTATTTAAATCAGTGGTTATACGATTTACATCTAGTAACAGCAAAACAAAAGATTTGAGATAATAACCCTAATTTTCAAGTTGGGAAGCATTGCAAGTAAAAACATAACCTTGTTGCCATCACTTAATAAAAATGTAAGAAATATCACTGCAGACCCATTTCTGTGTCACATTCTTCCATTTCGTGATCATGTTTAGAACTACCATTTAGGAAGCCATTGGACGAAGTCTCAGCAACCCCATTGGAGTAGTGATCTGTTTCCATGTCTACA